TCACTTTTCATAGGAAGGAGATAAGATGTACTGCTTACAGTTAATGGCACAGAAAATAACTATTAAATAGCATTTAAATTATATGATCTAATTTAAAACAATTTATTTTTGCATGGATGTAATAATATCCATTCTGTAATGCATTTAAAAGATAATTTAAAACCAAATGTAATAACAATGACTCTAAGAGTGCTACTTGCATTCTACTTTGCGAAGAATCATTTCAGGGAATGGATGTGATATCTATTTTGTATTGAATGTAAAGAAGTGTTTCAAATCATACGTAAAAAAAGATGGATATAAGAGTGCTTGTAAAAAAAACTTTAATTAAATGAAAAATAAAACAACTTATTTTTCAAAAGAAAATTTCTGTCCTGTCCATTTATTTATAGGACGCCTGGGTGGCTCAGTTGGTTGAGTGTCTGCTTTTGGCTCAGTCGGTTAAGCTCAGGTCATGATCCTAGGGTTCTGGGATTGAGCTCCGTGTGGGGTTCCCTGATCAGATGGGGAGCCTGCTTCCCCCTCTGCCCCTCCCCTCGCTGATGTTCTCTATTGCTATCTCCCTCTCTCTCATAAATAAGTAAAATCTAACAAGTTTCACACTGCTAGAAAAGAGAATGTGAAAAAGTTGAGATGAAGCTGTATAGGTAAGCAATATAGAATGGAAATGAAAGAACTGAAAGGTGACAAAACAATTTAAATGAATCATTTAGAAACTAGTCATAGATTGCCAGCTAAGAGAAGATGACAACTTGGATCAGGTTAATGGCAGCAGGAACAGAGGGAAATGGATAGATTTAAGACTAATTAGGATGTGAAAATGACAGAAAGCGGTCTAAGGATCACTCCAGGAAATAGAGGAGAAAAAACAATCAGGGGTATCATCATGTTTCTAATTTAGGCAAGTCTTTAACACCTAGCAGTACCATTCCTTGACACTGAGCAGCCAGAAGGAGTTTGGTGGTAGTGACAGAAGAGTTGGACAAGACAAAGCCTGAGGATAAAATATACATATGAAGATGCCTGATAAGCAGTGGGATATACAGGTCCCAAGTTCAAGAGAGACAGTTGACCTGGTAATACACACAAATCTGGGTCAAATTTATGACTAAGGAGGATATAAAATGAGTAGAAACCCATTAGAACCCCAAGGAGCAATATTTTAGGAAGAGGCAAAAAAAGATGATTTTGCAAAGTCAATTAGAGTAGATCTGGAGTAAGGCTAGGGTGGTGGCCTCAGGAACTGGTGTCCAGATAAAAGGGATTTTACTGAAAATGAATACATTAGGAAAATGAAACGCTATGGCATTGGTTCTCCAACTTAAGCATACATCAGAATCATAGGAGAGTTTGTTCAGATTGCTGAGCCCCATCTCCAGACTTTCTGATTCAGTAAGTCTGGATTTGGGACTGAGAATGGGCATTTTAATGCCGCTGGTTGGGGGATTGCACTCTGAAAATCACAGGGTTAGAGTATAGAATAACAGACTGTATATATGGATACTGAGATCACACTGGATGACAGTAAACCTTGGAAGAAAGACAGTGAGTGAGGTGTTAACACTATAATTAAGTGGGAGTGACCAAGAAATCAGGCAAATAAAAGCAGAAAGGACTATAGGATAACCAGATAACACAAGACTCAAGGATCTACATGCAGGCTCCTGGGTGGCTCAATTGGTTAAGGGTCTGCCTTTGGCTCGGGTCTGATCCAGGGAGTCCTGGGATCAAGTACCACTGGGGCTCTCTGCTCAGCCAGGAGCTTGCTTCTCCCTCTAACCTGCCTCTCCTCCTGCTTGTGCACATGCTCTCTCTCAAATAAATAAAATCTTTAAAAAATAAATAAAAAGGATCTACATGGATTTTAAACTGAAGTAGAGAAACATTCTGAATATAACATTTGAAACCAAGGGAGACAATGACATTGCTTCCTGACCATGAGGTATATAGGGTGGGGGGGCGGGGAGACCTAGCTTCAACTTGAGAAGGTTATAGGAGAAAGTGTCTTCATGAAAGAATCTGGTTTCAGGTTCAAGTTCCAAATGAATTGAAGTCAAAATAAAACAAGAAGGGATGCCTGGGTGGCTCAGTCAGTCGAGCATCTGCCTTTGGCTTAGGTCATGATCCCAGGGTCCTGGGATAGAGCCCCATGTCAGTCTCCCTGATTGTGTGGGAAGCCTGCTTTTCCTCCTTCTACTGCTCCCTCGGCCTGTGCACACGCACTTGCTCTCTTTCACATAAATGAAATCTTCAAAAAAAAAAAAAGCCAAATTAAAACAAGAAACTATTTTTTAATGCATCAAATTAAAAACTTAAAAATGGTAATACCATGACTGTGAAGGATTCTATTTCTTTCACACTAAGAAAAAAATTGTTAGGCATATTTCAGTTATTATTTAAGACTAAACACTTTAAAAATGTCATTTAATTAACTAAACTCTTAAATTCTAAAATTATTTATTTATAAGAAATAAAATGGAAGCTGTATACTAACAGTGTACAACTATATAAGGTGAAATATAAAAGCCCCTCCTCCTAATCCCCAAGCCCCAGCTGATATCATTAAAATGGTTTTATATTCTCCAAATTTTCTGTGCATGTGCTTGGATGCATAGCCAAAGAGCACAAGAAACTTGAGAGGATACACATAAAGAGAACCACATCTAGATACATCACAGTTGAATTGTCTTAAGCTAAAGACACAGCAAATCTTAAAAAGGAGCAAATAGGAAACAACATAATTAACAGTTGACTGATCAGAAACAATGAAGGCAGCAGAATGACATATTCAAAGTGATACTATTGCATGAAAGGCCAAAGAGCATTTTAATTTGTAGAAATTGTCAAACTGTTACAAAAAGGTTGCAACAGTTTGTATTCTCTACTGTACTATATTCTCACACTACACATTACCAAATTGTTTAATCCTTACCAATCCAAATGCAAACAAAACAAAAAACACAATTTTAAAAAACTGGAGTACCAAATTCTGATTTACATTTAAGTAACTAGTTTATATAATGTTTATTAGCTAATGTTTATGAGCATCAAATTTCTTTCACTGTGAACTGCTTTCCATAGGATTATCTTCTTGATTTGTAAGAGCCCTTTTGATATTAGCCACATTGGTTTTGTATGTTGAAAATATTTACTCCATTTCCCCTCAAAAAAAAAAACATCTTCAGTTTTTGTAAATTCGTAGCCACATCTCCTATCCAAACGCCTCCCCAACTCTAAATGACCCTCCCTCCGCTAAAGTTGTATTTCTTTTTTTTTAAAGTTTATTTTTAGTAATCTCTACACACAACATGGGTCTTGACCCCATTAGGAGTCACATGCTCTTCTGACAGAGTCAGCCAGGCGCCCCCTACCCCCAAATAGGTTTCTCAAAATGTAAATCTTATTATCACAGTCTAACAACCTTCTGTGATGAAATCCATAAACTGTCAGGGTCCTTTTATCCTAATCTCTAATAACCTGCTACTCTCTAGCCACCACAGAATACTTAATAGAGAAAAGCTCACGAGCTATTTAAAAAAAAAAAGAAAATACTGGTATTCTTTCTTTAACAGTGTTACTCTCCACTCCCTCAATCCAAATTTTTACCCCCATTTGTATTACTCCTTAAACTCTTCATGTGGAATAATTTGCTTCTTTCTACCTGTACTTTATACATGTCTCTATATATAACTCTTAAACTCTGCATTTTAGTATTATGAACTTCTTGGGGGAAGGAAATAAATCTTAATGTTCCCAAGTAAATATGGAATGGATAAAAAGATTCAGTGATCTATCTGATGAATTCTATTGATGAACTGATGTATTGATGAAAATACAAGGAATCAGAAAGTATCAAGGAACAAGATAAAGACAACTGGAAGGATGATGGTACTTCAAGATGTTTGTTACATAACTTATTTCTGCTAGCTTAAAGCAATAATGGAAAAAAGATTCACTGAAAGAAACAGTATTAGCACAGAGCTAACAACAAGCATCAGTATATTTTAGTAATCCAAAGTAGGTTAAGGTTAACAAATTGGAATCAGTGAGCTTTATAAACTGTGCTGGTTAAGTCAATTTAAGGCTTTATTAGGTAGCTTAGGAAATTTATTTGCTCATTAAAGTCCATAGCTGTTTTAACTTTTATTACCTTCAAATCCCTGTGCTTAAACACAGACTAAACCTTTCTGTATAGGCAATTACCTAACTACATAATTTGTTTGCAGATAGTTCAGGCCTTCAATCTGTTTATCTTCCTAGAATGAAGTCAATTACGTAGCCCCGAGGCTATGAAACAGCACTAACTCAAGGAATTAAACAACCTGGGATATTACCCCAGTTCAGGACTAAAATCTATGCTTGTTTCTTCAAGTTTCCTTCTCCCTTCATAAGAGAACCTTTCACAAGAAAAGCAGTTAGCCAACAACTTCCAGATGTAGTGCCTTTGGGAGCTGTGCTCCAAATGAGGCCACATTCCCCTGGGTAGCTCCCAGTGAATGATGGAACATGGAAGGACACTAGGGCCCAGTCATTTCCGCTTAGTGAGGCATTCATCTATAGGCAATCTGCAGTGGAGCTCCCCACAGAGCTGCCAGAGACTCACTGCTGCTCCATGGCTGGAGTCTCTTCCTACAGAATCCTTCTTGTCTCTTTTAACAGGAATCATACCTGCATCAAAGTGTATCTACTCCTTTCTCTTTAACCTGCACAGATGCTATCCCACAACAAATCTCCTTACATACCAACATACCCTACTCTCCAATTCTAAGGTTTATTGAAATCTAGCTATCATATATTGCCCAGATTTTGCCATATATTTATAAGACTAGTGTCTGGGCATTTAAATCAAGTTAGAAATGAACTTTTGTACTACGAAGGAATATAGGTTAGAAAGTCTTTTTAGACTAAAAATTCCATCTCCTCTGAGGTTTGAGCACAAATTAATTTAGTTTAACCAACTAACCAATATTCAACATGCAGAATCTATCAAAAATACTTACATAACTGTGTTGTCATCCACTAAGATATCACAACCATGAGCAGGACACGAAATAGTCTGAAAAAGATTGAAATTTAAACTATGTCTTCATTCAACAAATATTTACTGGATGCTTACCATCGCCAGGCACTTCAGTAGGTTGAGAATACCTTGACATTTACAGGATCTTAATTGTTCCCTTTCTATTAAAGGAAATGTATGTGTGTGTTTTAATACCATAAGGTAACTAAAACCACTGACTGACCTGAATAAAACTCGAAAGGCACAAGCAAGACACCTGACAAAACTGCTCAACAAGTTTAGCCTGATTTATACACATCTTAATGCCACTAAGAAAACATTACCTGAACTGTTATCTTTGACTGGATTGTGACATTGTAAATAGAAAAATGTCTTAATTATCTTTTAATCTCAAAATGGAAAAAGTTTCCCATGCAATTTATAATCCAGAATGCTTCACCTGTTTATATTTCTGCAAGGGTCTAAACATTGTAGGAAATTCAACAAAAACTAAAAAATCATATTGGTATCTTTACCTGTCCCATGCCTTCCTCCATTATTTTGGTAGTTAAATATTCGCTCCAGCACTGCATACAAAATTTATGTCCACATTCAAGGCCAGTGAAATACTGCAACAAAAATAATACATGGACTTTTAAAAGACATGAGAAAAATCACTATACATAGTGACTCAAGAAGGCTCTATTAGGTCACAATTCTCATAAGTAATTAAAATGTCCAATTTGACAAGGCTAGCTGGGCTTCTAAAATAAACTTCTCAGTGGTAAAACTTAGACATGCAAATACATTTAATACAAATTATCTAATGAGAAATGCATTTAGAGTATTTATATTTTTAGGAAAGACAAGTTTGTACAAAATATAAGAATATGTCATGTACCAATAAGCATATGAAAAGACGCTCAAAATCCTTAGCTATCAGAGAAATGTGAATCAAAACCACAATTAAGACACGACTTGACACCCCTAGGACAGCTATATTCAAAAAGATAACAAGTGTTGGTAAGGATGTAGAGAAATTAGAACCCTCATACACTTCTGTGCGAATGTACAATAGTACAGGAGCTTTGGAAAACACTGTGGCAGTTTCTCAAATAATTAAACACAGAGTTACTCATGATCCAGCAATTCCACTTCTAGGTATATACCCAAAAGAAATGAAATCATAGCTCCACACAAAAACTTGTATACAAATATTCATAGCAGCATTATCCATACTAGTCCCAAAACAGACACAACCTAAATGTCCAGTGACTGACGAATGGATAAACAAAATGTGGAATATACATATGAAAGAATATTATTCACGCATAAAAAGGATTAAAGTACTGATACATACTGTAATGCAGATGAGCCTTGAAAACACTATGCTCAATGAAAGGATCCAGCCACAAAACACCACATATTGTTTGATTTCCATGTATACAAAACATCCAGAACAGGCAAAATCATAGAGAAAGTAGATTAGTGGTTTCCTAGGATAGGATGGCTTGAGGGGTAAGAGGTAGTAGTGAGTGTAAAAGGAGATGAGGTTTCTTTTTGGGGTCATGAAATGTTCTAAAATTTATTGTGGCAGTAGAGTGGTAAACTAAAACCGCTGAAAATAAGTGAACTATATCGTCTTATTAGTGTATGTGAATTTCATCTCAAAGCTGTACTAAAAAATGTCATGCAAATATAGGACTTCTAGAGTTGCACAGAAGAGAGCTTACATAGATAATCAATAAAATCTTATGGAAACCAAAAGATTCATCAGATTGCTAAGAACAATACTAACATTTGGTCTAATCTTCTATTACTTATATGACTTGAAATACTACTAATTTGAGGGGTAGTTAATTGAAGTATATTATATTCTATAATATGCAAATAATGGTCACCAGTTTCAGCTAAGAATATTTTACAATATTTACTCTAAATTATTTTTAAACAAGGTAATACAGGCTCATAGTTAAAAACAATTATTTAATAGTACAAGTTTATGTTGAAAAGTAAGTCTCCCTTATTCCCACCCTTGTCCTCTATTTCTCTATCCAAAAGTAACACTATTTCAAAATCTGACATAATCTGCCAGAGATGTTCTGACATACACAGGCACATACACAACGAGAGTAGCACACATTATCGTTTTGGTTATTATTTAATACATTTCTGAGGTGGTCCTACATTAGTACACATGGATCCACCCCTTTTTACAGTCTGTATGAAGGTACCATGATTTATTTAAATAGTCCACCATTAACGAACATTTAGACTTTTTTTTTTTTTTTTGCCACTATGCTACTGCACTGGCTATTTATAAATCATGGTGATTGTGCCGATGTATCTTGGGATAAAGTGATATTATAACAGGTATACATTTACACTTTAATAGAGTATTACACCAAGCTTTAAGTTCAAAGAGGTTGTAGCAATTTATACTGTTAAAGAGAATTCGGGTTTCCCAAAACCTATGTCAACAATAGTATATTATCGAACTCCTTGATCTTTGCCAATCTAACAGGTATGAATGTGAATTAGTTTCTTTTTTTTAAGATTTTATTTATTTATTCATGAGAGACACGAGAGAGATGCAGAGACACAGGCAGAGGGAGAAGCAGGTTCCCTATGGAGTGCTGGATGTGGGACTCAATTCCAGGACTCTGGGATCATGACCTGAGCTGAAGGCAGACAGATGCTCAACCACTGAGCCACCCAAGTGCCCCACTTCATTAGTTTTGATTTTAATTTATTTTGAGTGAAGTTTTAAACACTAAAAAAATATTAAAAACTATGTATTCTTTCGGTGCACTCTCTTCATCTATTTTGCCCATCATTTCCTTAATGATTTAGTGGGGATTTCTACCTATTTAGAAAACTGGCCATTTTTAAGTGTGGAAAATATTTTCTCAGATTCAAATCTGAGTGCTCACATTTTGTTGCCATGAAGAAGCAACAAAAAAATACATCAAAGTGTACTGGTTTTAAAATTTCTGCCTTCTAGGGGCCCCTGGGTGGCTCAGTAGTTGAATATCTTTTTCAATATTTTACTATTATTCTATCTCTCCAAATACTCAAGTCATCTTTTTAACTATTTAGTATTTCAAGTTTTCTTCATAACAGATCTTTCACATTTCTTGCCAAGTTTATTTCTAGCTCTTTTATTCTTTCCGTGGCTCACATAAGTGGTACTTTTTATTCCATTTTCTAACAAGCTGTTACTTGAAAAATGCTCATGAAATTTCTGATGTTGCTTATGACATTCAGATACAAATAGGATACAAAATTCTATACTATAGCACATAAACTATATAAAGAATGCCCAGAAGCAGACATGGGGGAAAAAATGTATCAGAGTCCTGAGACTTGTCCTACAGACCAAATGACATGGTAAATATCCAGTTTAAAATATGATGCTATTCAGATTGACAAGAATTGTAACTCATTTATAGGACAAGTAAAGGTAAATATTGTGGAAATCAGTATTTTTATCCATTAAAAAAAAAAATCTAGGAAACAAACAAAAGAATCTATTCTCATTATTCCTGACTGGTAAAGGACATTTGGCACTAACTCGTCAGATCACTAATGAAGAGCATCTGATTTTCAAGGCTGTAAGAGGAAGGAGCATTCTGTAAAAGACAATTATAACAGGGTAAAAGATCAACAATTCTAAAATGTTTTATTCACAACTTAAAAACACATATGCATCCTCATGTGCTTTATTTTCTTTTTTCAAATAAGAACCCTTGAGATTGTGAGATTAAAGGTTACAATGGTTACTAAGTGATCATTGCAAGTAACATCTCTACCTTTGGAACTTCTGGACCATCAATCATTATATAAGGAAAAAAACAAAGCTTTTTATTCTTTAAAGGCTTCTTTTCAATAATTCTTCTAATTTGATAGATAACAATACAAAACAAGAAAAAATAGAAATATAAATCACATACACACGTCTAAAGATAGAGCAAAAACTAACCTGTGGTATAAACACATTTACTCTGCTCAAAAGAGGTGTCATTGTCACAGATATACCTGGGTATCACCATCCTGTTCCATTTCCCTTCCTCTCTTCCTCCTTTCACATATCTGTTCCCTTACAACCTTGTGCGTACCTACTTGGGTCCCTAACTCAAAGATAGGATTACCTATCAACAAATTTATCCTTGCTAATATCATAAATAAATCTGACACAGAATACACTAAAAATATATGAAATATTACCTAAAACAGAAATTAATGGTCCTTTAAAAAAAGAACTGAAAGAATAAACATTCTTCAAAGGTACATTTATTACTGCCATTTTACATACACAGCAACTAATGGCAAATAGCAGTAAGAACAGGAATAAATATCTTTCTTCCATCAGAAACTCCTCATATAATCTCTAAAGTTAAAGCCATTTTGTTTATAAAAACTGAATAATTAGGACATCAGTTCCCTCATCCATAAAATGGAATAAATTAAAAAGGATATAGGGTCAGACTTAGAGCAGATGTTTTGTGTTCCCAGCAGAAAGATTCGGAGGTGCTTAAGAGGTGAGGGGATGGGAAGGTGACTATAGTCACAATCTCCCCAAAGTTGCCTTTATGTAACATACCTGATTCTTAAAATATACAAATTATTTACTCCATAAAAATGAGATACCACAGCCCACTCTATAACTGTTGCCAGGGCTAAGAAACCCCTGAATTGGCCACAAACAAGGAGATGGGGGTAGAGAATTTAAAAGTGCCCCAAAGTCTCAGGATATTGTTTTTAAAGAAGAGATCTCACCCAAGATAATTATCTCCAAAGTGCTATATACTAAGCTACTAAAGCATTTATTTTAAAAAGTTGTTTGCACGTGTCACTGTATAAAGCTAAAGCTGCTTTCTGGAAGGATAAAGGTATTGAAGATAAACATTAATAAAAGGCAAGTATCAGTTTTTGAAGAAAGTGGTGGAAACTGAAACATGGGAATTATACAGCAGAGGTTAAAAAAAAATCGCTCATCCAATCAAAGCGTCAATGGAGTCTGAGATGACATTTGCAGAACTGAAGAGGTTAAAATTATCTTTCTATATTAGTCTAAAAACTATGAGAAAAGTCCTAGTTTTATCACACTATTATTCTTCATAACACTTGGCATGGTTTCCGTAACTCTCAAACTTACTTTCCAACCCATGTTGCTGTTTGCTTTCTTGTCCTGTCACTGACACAGCCAAGCTTCCTTTAAAGAATAATTTGTTTGTATTTATTGCCTACGTTTCTTTTCTAATCTTTAGGTCAATAACCCTTCAGCCCATGCAGTGTGGTTTCTCATTTTACCACACTACTTACATTAACTTTCCAATATCATCAGTAAACTTCATGTTGTTAATTCCAAATTCACTTTTCAATTATTTTCTTTAAAGTTTTTAGCAATATTTTTATCATTCTTGGAGGTACATACTCTTCCTCTGGCTTCTATACTGCTCTGTTTTCCTGATTCACCAAACTACCACACTTTCAGAGGTTATTTCACAGGTCAATTTCTGTGGGAAATTCTCTCTGACCTAAAACTGGGTTAGATGTCTCTCTCCAACATGTTCCTATAGTATCATCATAGTGCTTACCTTTCTTTCTGAATATGTCATCTTACTTATCTACCCAGCTAACCTGTAAATTTTCTGAAGCAGGCATAAGGCCTTTTTTTCTCCATTGTGTTTCTAACACTTAGAATAGTGCCTGGTGCACTGAATAAATGAATAATAGGTTCTCTATCATCAGTTACACGTGCAAGCAAAATTTACAATGTGAATCTCCAGGTGATTTTTAATTCTAATTTGTTAAGACTGTTAGACAATACCAAGGACACTGAGAAAGTTATAGGGGATATTTGTAAGTAGCTAATTTCAGTACTCATATTACATTTAAAATTTAAACAAAGGAGGAGCTAGTTATAATAGAGCAGGAGGAGAAATGTCAGGGAATAAGGAAACCCTGTATAATCTGGGACAAATTCTTTGGGGCTCAGTATTACCTAACAGAAACTTTTACAAACTATACAAACGTCACCTGGCAAAGAAAACTTTTGTTAAAGACAGACAATAAAATGGTCAAAAGATAAATTTAATGTATTTTTAATAGTAATGTTTTTTTTTAATACTCAAGATTGTGATTTAAAGGAGAGGGAAAAAAATTTTTAAAAATAAAGGAAAGGGAAATTATACAATTCTCAGAACAGTAGAGATTTGAAAGAATATCTTACTCAACTCTTTTGAAAGATAAAAAGAACTTAAATCCAGTAAGGTTTAATAATTACACAAAGTCAAGTAGTTAGCATTAGTGCTATAATCAAAACTTGAGACTATGGAAATTCAACTCAACACTTCATCTATAAAGTTACGTTAAATCATTGTTCTATTTCTCTAAGAGTACTTAAGTAACTTTCTTTTAAAATCTCTTTTCTAGGCACTTGAAGCACATGTGAACAAATTAGTCCCCTTCAAATGGACCTCTACAGAGAAACATTTATAAACCTCTAAGAAAAAATAATGAAAAATCTTCAATATGTTAAAATATATAAACACTTGGTGTCTGTCACTTGATGACAAACACTTTCTATATAATAATTATTAGAAAGTTAATTAAAGCAGAGAATATGAGTAAGATAGTTATTATTATAGAATTAAGCTTTTTCTTAGGTATCTTGAAATATCTTAGGGGTGAATTCCAAGTGACTAAATACATTTATGTCACAAATATTATTTTTTTGTGGTTACTAATAAAGTAAGGCCTTCATAAGATGATTATGTTTAAGCCTAAAATTCCTTACTAGACAAATCAAAGTAAATCATCCAAATTTAGTAGGTTTTAAGAGGGATACTTTTACTTAAAAGAAATACCAATTAACTGGTCCTAGTGTCTGCTCCAACTCTGTCACCACTTGCTATATTTAAGAATCTCCATTAGAATGGATCTCTATAAATGAAACGCTTCTGTTATGCAGAAAACTGCCTAGTAAAATACTATTAAAGACATTTTATTGATGTATTGGGTATTAATTTTAAAATGCTAATTTTAAATCTATTTTATTTTGATGAAAAATAATTCTACTGACTGCCCACCTATTAAACAATCCTCCCATGATAGTAAAATAAACTCAGAATAAATTTAGGTTGTAATGACAAGTTGCTGCTTTAAAAAAGCAAACAGTGGTGGAGAGGGAAAGAACAAGTTCCATTCTTTGTCTTCCTTTCCTTTATCCTCAATATTCTGATAGGTTACTGTTTTACTACAGTACAATTCCAGACTCCCAGATCTTCCTTTGTTTAAGTAATTTAAAAGTAATTTAAGTTGATTTATCCTCTGAAACAGAGAGTCAGTGCTAGCCTTAAACTACCAGATACTCACCGAGTTAGGGTAGTTCAAGTAGCAGATCTGACAAGGCATATCCTGTGCTGATGACCTTGTATTCATCTGGCGTGTTCGGGACTTTTTACTTGGATTAATTACATGACACTCAGCAAAGAGCTTCTCCAGGTTTCCATCAAAGTACCTGCATTATTTAAACAGAAAGGATGAGAGCCCAGCAATAGCACACTGTTAGAGCTCTCCAAAAACCTGATTTTCTATAGGGAACAGCAATGAACTGAATTAAAATAAACCCAGATCATAACCTTTTTCGCTCAGAGGAACAGAGGTGTATGGCTACAAATTGTAGCAAAATAGAGGGGTGTGTGTGTGTGTGTGTGTGTGTGTGTGTGTGTGTGTCTGTGTATGTATATATACATATATACAGTTAAATGTATATATACATACACACACATACATATGAAAGCTGATGGAGGATTTTGGGTTTTTGTTTTGTTTTGTTTTGTTTTTTTACCATTTTGGTATTTTTTACTTTGTTTTTATCCTAGGAAGTTAAGCTATTAGTATTTTAACAGTACTATAACTAAAACTTAAGAATAAAAGTTGTACTATTCTTACAACTATCTTAAGTTGTACCTTAATGAAGAGTAATGGTATTTTAAAAGGCTAGGCTAATACTTCATACAAATGACTTATTAATTATTTTAGTTATACCAGCTTAAATATATTAGCAAGTAAACTACCTACACAGTATATCTTACCCCACAAATCACTTATTTGTCTCATTCTACAAAACAGATATCATTTCTAAATATTCTTTTAAAATAATTTTTCATTTACTAGCAAAGGGAAAGAGGAAACAAAAATGTATCTTATAATGTTTTTCTATCAAAAACTCCATATACTTAGCTTTTCATAAAATACATTTATAAATATACAGAAGTAGTTCACTAAGATATCACGAGCATGGTATGCCAACTACCAGTCTCAACTGAACTATAAATTTCTTGACAGAAGACAGTGGCAAATAGTTAATTAGCCCACTATTTCCCATTAATCCAGATGAGACAGGATTGCTGGCTTCCCAAAACACCTTAATATCCCAGAGGAAAAAGTAACAGATTTAAAATTTTCAATTTGTGAATCAATGTAACTAGTAAAATATTAATGAAAAATCTGGTCAATTACTTTTTAGCATATGAAGCCTAGGTTTCAACAACTTCAATGTTCTTTATATACAAACAGGAGGTTCTGAAGTTAAAAAACAAGTGATACTCAAAGAAATTTCCAATTATTTTTAATGCAGGACTTGTTCAGGCTTTGTGTCAAGCACTTACTTTATCCCCAGGAAAATCACTCAAATGAGAACAAATCACATCACTCCCCTAAGACTAATAAATATCTATTTATAAATATTTTGACTACAGAATGTTTCAAATGATAGAATTATTAACCAAAATGTCAATACATTACAAAAGAAAAACTCCTATAGGGTTAAAAGTTGTCACTGATGATTCAACTAATCAAAATATACAGAGGAGAAAATCAAATGCTTTCCTACTTATTATCTCTGAGAAAATCTAAGATGTGTAGGTTTATCTGAATGTCTACTTTATTTGAAAAGTAGAAAGTGGGCAGCCCAGGTGGCTCAGCAGTCTAGCGCCACCTTAAGCCCAGGGCGTGATCCTGGAGACCGGGGAACCAGTCCCACTTCGGGCTCCCTGCAAGGACCCTGCTTCTCCCTCTGCCTGGGTCTCTCTGCCTGGGTCTCTCTCTCCTGTCTCTCACGAATAAATAAATCAAATCTTTAAAAAAGGGGGGGGGGGGAAGAAAAGTATGAAGCTAACACTAAATATGAACAGGTAGGGATCCCTGGGTGGCGCAGCGGTTTAGCGCCTGCCTTTGGACCAGGGCGCGATCCTGGAGACCCGGGATCGAATCCCACGTCGGGCTCCCGGTGCATGGAGCCTGCTTCTCCCTCTGCCTGTGTCTCTGCCTCTCTCTCTCTCTCTGTGACTATCATAAATAAATAAAAATTAAAAAAATTAAAAAAAATAAATAAATAAATAAATAAATATGAACAGGTAAAGCAATTAAAAACACCTTGTTTTTAGAAAAAACATCCATGCTCATAAGAAGAGACAAACTTCTAGCATCCAAACTTGACTACATAAAATTATTAACTCCTAATCCTTTAGCAATGATTCTAGATACCATTCTACACTTACACAGCCAGATAGACATGTGTCTATAATTTCATATAAAAGCACTTACTCCAAATTTATAACTTTCAGTAAACAACACATTAAGACATCTTTGTCAATGAACATTAGTTTACATCTCTGCATAATATTCTACTGTAGGTATGTACTTTAATGTACCTAACCAGCCTTATACTAAGGGACATTTGATGTTCCACATATAAGTAATCCTAGATTAAAATCTTGGCCCAACTGATTGTAGGGGGGAATATCTGGACTTAATTTGCATTTCTTCACTAGTGAGCTTTTCTGTGAAATTCCTACTATTAATTTATGAGTTCCATACATCAATAGAACAGGTAAACCCTTTGTCTCGTGGCCTACTTTATCCCCCCAGTTTCTAACTTGCCCTCAACCTTGTTTAGTGGTGTTTAATTGCCACTTTTAATCTTCCTATAGGCATACAGATCATGTTGTGAGTTCTGGGTCTCCCCCTTTTTTTTTTTTGAGTTCTTGATTTCATATCAAGCTTTACAAGATCTCTATCCCTGAAGATTATAAAAAATTCATCCATGACTTTAGGTTTAAAGTGTTTCCATTAAACTGTTGATTCACAAGGAAATTACTTTTGTGAAGTACAAAACAAAGCTGGGATCCCATTTCATTTTAATCTAAATAGCTAACCATTTGCCTAAGGGTTTTTCAACTACCCCAAACACTTCCTCCTACCCTTAGGTCTCAACTTAACCCTCAGTTCCTCCCCTACAGCAGGGCTCAAATTAGGTCAATTTCCCTGTATAACCTTCTCATGGTACTTTGTACTGTGCACAACACTTATCTGCACAATCAACTCCATAATCATTTATGTCTTCTCTGCTAGGGTGTAAACCCCATGAGAACTATTTTCTTATTGCTGTAGCCCAGTGTCTAGAAGAATCTTACAATCATTCAGTTTGTTTTTAAAAGAGTAACTGATTTAAGAGGAACTTCTTAAAGATAATCCACGGTAACAAATCTGAATTCCTTTGCTTTTGGCATATTTCACACTGCAATGGGTTTATCTACTTTTTGAGCCATTCTAGAAGCTTTCAGAGAACTTTCAAATACTGCTCAGGTAAACAGAATGGGGAGCTTAAGAATCCACTCATACGGTTTGAGACAGTGGGCCTAGAAATCTTTTTCTTTTATTAAGTTCCATTTTATAAGAAATCATTTTAAAATTTGGTTTTGTTATTAATTACCAACAATTCTACAATAGTTACTTGGAAATATTGAAATCTAATTTATTTTCACTAACCTAACTTAAAATTAATACTTAAAGTCTATTTCTTAAGTTGTTGACTTTAAATGTATTGAGTGTCTTTATGTTATGTGATCCTACACTAAACCCTCTAGCTTTTAGAGTTTTCCTAGTTGATTACTTTGGCCAAAAATCGGACCCTCCAACCCCCAATATTCTTTATAGTGACAGCATCCATTTCCTTCCGGTACCTGTTGTTATGGAGGTTTGTGATCAAAATAATTTTTCTCATTTTATAATTCAAATCCTTTTTCAAGTGGCATATATATATAATTTTGTTTTCTTTCTTCATTCTTGAGATTTAGTAGTTTAAGGCTAGCTCTAGTAGGCTTTATCTCAGCTTTTTCCTTCAAATTATGATATTTTATTAAGGACTGCTATGCTCAAGAATACAGGTGGATTCTTGACTCCCATACCTGTTATTTACCTGGTCACTATTTGAAAGTTCTGCCAATTGTTCCTCGTATTTTATCCTTTCTAGTTCTGAGCTATGATGAAAGCAAATATATTAAGAAACGAATCTCAGTGAAACAGATGTAAGTAACTCCTTCTAGGTCTGAATTAGCACAATTTTAAAAGAAACACAATAATCTATGTCATCTTCCCAAAAGGCTCCCACTCCATTACAAAAAAATTTAACCATACAAGTCAACAGAACAGTACATTGAACTCCCACATACCCATCACCCAGCTTTAACCATTATCAACATTTTGCTAATCAAAAGATTTTCTGAGAAACACAATTTTATTCTCATATGAACTTTTAAGGTAGGTCTGAAATTATGGCAGACATTTTAAGAAGAAGCTAATGACTATTCCCCTCACAGGTAGTTGTCCACATTCCCTGGCTTGATTAGGATTATTTCAATTTACCAAATTCTTCTAACCTAAAGCCTCTGAAACTTCAAGAACATCACAGTATACAAAACCTTATAACTTCTTTACACATTCCCCCTAAACACACGTCTCAATCTGAGGAAAAGCTTCAAACCTTTTATCATTTTCTCAAAAGAGACTATGGCTCACATAATGACAAAAACCAGTATTATTTTCTAAAATTATTTTTCACTTCAAAGAAAACAAAGACAGTGGCTTCTGTGCCCTCTGTCCAAATATGTGCATGCACGGGAAGTGTTTATTTATACCCTCTGCTCTGCTGAATGGTCTTTTTCTTCCTGCTACACGAGCAGCATAATTTAGTAATAAGTAAAATGAAACTAACTACTTATGATTCATGCAATAGTGGATCTGATTCCAACTGAAGAAAATCATAAAAAGTTTACAGAAAGTATTTAAAAATGATATTTTATTATTTTGATAAGAATGTTTCTATATATATTTTTTTTTTTAAGATTTTATTCATTTATTCATGAGAGAGACAGAGAGAGAAAGAGGCAGAGACACAGGCAGAAGGCAGGTCCCATGCAAGGAGCCCAACATGGGACTCGATCCCGGAACTCCAGGATCACGTCCTGGGCCAAAGGCAGGCGCCAAACCTCTGAGCCACCCAGGGATCCCCTGTTTCAATATATTTAATGGAAGTCCTTAGGTTATAAATGTTGAGAGCCTATAAACAAAAAATATATATATTTAAAATTAAGAATAAGGAATCAAACCATCCATTTTCATGTGAGTTCCCTCTCATATTAAGCAACTATATGTAGGAATTGTGCTGGTCAATGG